CTATTTAAATGTGCTTTTTGCTTTGTAAATTTAGGCATGATTAATTGGTAAATTTCAAAAAAGAGTTAGATTTTTTGAACAAACCCTCCCCCCCGTGTTAAAAAATTGAATTGATATTCCATCACGTGATGTGTATAACATGGAATTAAAGTTAAATTTAGCAATTTTGGTAGTGGACAAATTGAGGTCAAACATAGAATAATGATGATTTTTAAAAACTCACAGCTCCATCTAGAATGGGATTTTAAAAAAATACTCTTCATTTTTTGTTAATCCAAGCTTCAAACTAACTGTTTATGAAGAACTTTTTGATTTATTTTATACTAGATAGAATTAGAAATTTTCATGTAAAAATTGCCAGGATTAGACTAGACACACCATACATCTTTTCAATTTCTGTCAACTAAAAAAGTTAGTTGTAGATAAATAGCATTAATCTGCTTGGCAAGTTATTTTTTTTGTTAATGAGGACATTAAACGGTATTCCAAATCAATTTTCAAAGTATATTTCTTGGTCACATGATTTTGGCTCGATTTTAATTATTTTAATTGGTAGATTTCAATAGCCAAGCTATTTATACCCGGTTTTTGCTAGAAATCCCCCCAATATATACAACATCAAACTTTAACTTGACATGATTCTTGTTGCACTGAATTTATTATTTGTTTTTTTTCTAAAGAGCAATGTATTACTGTGACACGCACTATAGAATACTCTTACCACACCTACGAATCCCAACCCAGAACCCATGATTGGTAGAAAATAAGGAAATCTTATCTTAAAAAAAATCTTGTCGTGTAACCGAGGTAGAAGTTTTCCGCACTGTACTATGTAAAATAACCAATACAAATTAAATAACGCGCACGTGGAAATGCAATAAAATATTAGCTCGATATAGTGACTAGTACAAATTTAGAAACTATCTTATAACGGGTTTTGGAAAGGGATACAATAAATCAGGTGTATTTTCATAATAGTATATATTAGTCGCTGAACTTTTCGTTGAAAACGTAAACTAAAAAAAAAACAAACCGGGGTCTTTAAGCTGACCTTTCTCTACAAAGTTACAATTTATGTTACGTTACCATGGAGGAATTAGGCCTCAAAGTTACACGAATTTAATATGTTAACCTCAAAATTGGCAACAATATTAATATTTTTTTTATGATGATAATAATTATGGCGTGTAACAATTCTTTGATAAAAAATAACAATTATTGGCTGAAAAAAGGGTTTTTCAAGTGATCATCATCTTGTGATACTTTATTAAAAGTCTATGCTGTATAGTTACCACATCCTTATTAATTATGTTTAGTATCATAATTGAATCTGGCAGGACCGAATTGTCACTCTATATGTAGTAATAGTTTCTCTATGTGAGGCTTGAGCACCACATTTCACTGAAAGGTCAACTTTTATGTAATATACCCACCGCAGATTCTCGACTTTAAAGTCGCGTGACCGAAAAAGGTTGCTTTGTTGCGAGGATTTACTCAAATTGGTGTTGTGGCGCAAAAAATTCAGACTAAAGCATATTATTATACTAGTTCTTGTTTATCCCGTTTTTCTGGAATCTAAAAAAGAATAATTGTGGCCAAAACTAACCCATAATTTAGGAATTTAGGAGGACCCGCAAACTTCATGGATGGATCACTGCTGCAGCTGAGTCAAACTCATATATTAATATAATAATAAATTAAATTTTTTTGTCAGGGTCAAATTATTATTATTTATAAATTTAAAAATTTTACGAATGTACCAATCATCAGTATTAATAGTCAATTAATTTAGTGTTAGGGTCAATCTGTGGATCAAATTATTATTATTATATACATCAAAAAGGTTAGTTGGGTTTAATAGGCAAATCTATTACCTTACGTACTCATTCAAAAAACAAAATCAAATACTTTTATATATAATATTAAAAAAAATTAAAATCAGTGAATTATCAGATTGGTAAATTTAATTTCGTTACAGTAGACAGTTTCAAATTTTTGACGTTAGTATATCTTATGGATCAGACTATGTTCTTTTTTCTAATGTTATTGCAAACCTTAGGGTCAAGTTATATATATAATAAACAGGAATTTTTGTTATCTATGAAGCTTGGTGTCCTAACTTAGGCAATTTCGGTTTAGGCCTAATTTCGCCCATTGAAATTTTTCTGGCGAAAATTAAATTGCCTAAACTCCTAAATTGTGAGTGGCAAAGAAGAACAACAACATATGAAGAAGAAGGGTAATAATAACGTGGGAAGGGTTCGTAAATTTATAATAAATAAATGATTATAAGCCTGAGTTTAAATTATTTAATAACTTCGTCCATAGTTTAAGCTATTTTCTGCGGGCGAATCTATTTCGGCTAAGTTTTAGATGATTTGCAAAATTGTTACTTAAGGACTCTGTCAATTTAATTGCTTATTGTCATAGTAACAATCAGTCAGCTCAAAATACTAAAACAAAAAATTTTTACATCATTGTAAAAAAAGTTAACCGATAAGTTTTATTGTTCATGACTCCAGCTTCGAAAACTTATCGGCTAGTTTTCTTAACTAAAAATCGGCTGAGCCTTAGTATTTGAAAATTCCAAATTTTATTATTATTATTGTTATTGAGACAGTAAATTTCGTGTAACATTTTTTTCGTAACATACATTCATTGATTTACTATTACTTGCATTATATCTATTTCCTTTTTTTATTTACAGTTTGACATTTAATTAAAGAAATCCATTACCAAATATGGTAGTATGGCTCAAAATTGTAACACACAAAATTATTACCCCAAATTTAGGATTTCTGAATTTGAAATGGGGGTAGTTTTTCAAAATCCAACATGTGGATCACATGATATTTCAAATTTTTTAACCTTTGATATTATAGATGATCCGCATTGTATTAACGATAGGAACTATTTTGGTAAGAATGATGTGTTTAGGTCTTGGCAAGAATTTAGTTTTCGGATTTTGTTTTTTCCTAAACTAGTTTCGGGCAGTTTCGGTTTCGGGGTTTCCCTAAGTTAGCATTAGTATTAGTATATATTAGTATCAGAGTTTCGGGTCACAACATTTGGTTCTTATCATACACCAAAAGTTGGCGCACGTTTTAAACACCATTTTGCAACTTAGGTTCGCCAAATTATATGTGCGAAATTTCATATCCATAACATTTTTATTAAGCTAAAAAAAATCAATTGTTCAAAAACGCACATAACAATCATACCCGAAATTCAAAATTTAATAATAAAGTAATAATTAATTCTATATCCAATTCTCCTTGGCACACTCTTCATCAATTTATTGGGACATCATTTGTAATTTTACCGATTCTTTTCGATTTTTTGTAATCACATCTTAGTTCGAGACATTATTGCTCCATAAACCGACGATTCCACCATCACATTGACTATCATTTAAAGCTAAAATATTTACTTGAAAATTTTTGTTCAAAAATTAAAAATGATGTCTACAAAAAAACATAGATGCTTATTCAATATTTTTATTATTATCACATATCAAACTTTCGGACGAGATCATTATGTTCGTTTTTGAACAATTGGTTTTTTGAAATAAGTAAAAAATTTGATTGAAATTTTATTTTTTTTGCACATATAATTTGGTGAATCAAAGTTGCAATGAAAAAAAATCTGAAGCACACATAGCTGGTCAATATTGGTATGTAGAACAACTTTTTACATACAAAAGAATCGAGTATCTGAATTTGGCCAGTCAATATTGAATTTGAACTAGTACTAGACAAAAATGAATAAAGCCTTCACTTCAATAATTTACAATGATCAACGGAAACTTTTTTTCAGTAAGAGTAAAAATGTCACAAATGCATGTAACAGTAATGAATGCTTGCAGAAAGAGCCATTAAGGATAGGTGCCAGCCTAACATATATATGTGAATTTCAATAAAATAATAAAATGTGAAAAATCTTATATTTTTATAATAAATAAAAATGTGACAAAAAAAATTTTTTTTTTGGTCATGTGAATAAAATTTGACCATGCCGATCACACGTTATGACTCTACCCTTGGAAATGTTCAGAAAATTGCGTCAAGAGAAACATTGAATATGTTGGATAATATGGTGTCAAAAATGAACCAAGCTTAGAATATCGTTATCAGAGCTAATAACAAATCAACAAGGATAAAAAAGAAATCATTATAGAGAAATGGAATTGTATACTCTGTTGTTCAAGTTGATGAACAACGCACATTCTAACTTTATGTACGAACCAAAGGTAAGTGAACCATTTCTATATGATCCTGAATCAAGCAAATCGCAAGAAAGCGCATCCACAAATGTCCTTTGATACCTGTGAGCATGATTTGTATTAAATCTTGTTGTAAAATCTTTTTTCTAATACATATATAGAAAGGAATTTCAACAAGAATATCAACAACCATCAGAAAGTACATCTGAATCCAATAATGCAAATTTGGTTGATAATGCACAAACATTATAGCTAAACTTTTGTCACTTGACCAAATGCGAGAGGTTCTTGACAAACTTGGTTTGATGAAAATAATATGAAATCGTGGAATCAATCTATTGAAGTTCTTTTTGGAGTGTCTTCAAGTCTCTTTGCAGCTAGAGAAATCACCCTCTCTAGTTTGAGCTTTCGAGATGTTGACTTTCATCCAGAGTTAGTTGAATACGCCATTGGCCGTGGTGAATCCAAATTTTATAACAGAGTTAAATCGTTTCTATCTGGTGATATTATACATGAAGGGAACTGATATCATAAATATATACAAATTGGAATCAAAAAAAAAAAAAACGGAATGTCTACAAGATAATGCCATCAAGAGACAAATGTAATCAAGAACAAAATTATACTTTCTTTTTATCGTGGAGTTGGTAATGTTATTGCAACAGCTTCAATAAACCACTAATTTGGGCAGAGTTTATATACTACTCAAAATATCTATTATGCTCTCAAGTGTGGAAGGAATTATGAGAATGGTGCGCTTATTAGGGTGATTCTGGTGGATGAAGGGGGCTTTGTTTGAATGATGCCGAGCAGAGAAAAGATTCGTTTGTATCGACAATCAAGGACGCAGATAATCCAGCATGAAGCAGATATTTTTTACTAGAATGTCAGTTTCTTTGAACAATTCATGTTACTATCCCAATTTTTATAGATGGTGCAAGTTGCTTGTAGGACGCCAGCAGGTTTTATATGCTATAATTTGTCAATGCTAAATTATTGACAAAACTGAATTTACTAATATGATTAAAACTTTAAAAGAAATAAATACATCAGAAATTTGATAGCTAAAAGTATTTATCATGCCAATTCGCATACAAATTTAATTGGACAAAAATGCCAAGTACTTATCGCGCTTAATATGGTGGCAAAATGTTTCACACAATACAAAAGTAGATATATTGCGCACAATTTGAATGTAGCCGCCGTCTTTTAATTCTAAAACTAGGTCATCAAAGAAAAAAGTAAATTTTATATTGTAAATCCAATTAAAAATAAAAGTCATCATAATTGGTACCAAATATTTGTTATTTATTCATACGTGTGACCCTGCTTATCATCAGTTATTATTGGAAAGTCTTGATATAAGGGGAAATGATGCAAATGTCCGAGCGAGATCATCTTTCAATTAATATTGATTGATTGATTTTGTTGTGAATCTATACACCATTATAGATTTAAACTGTTCTTATGTAATAAATAAAGAAATAAAGTTACATGTGAATTTAACAAGGAATATAATGAGATGTATACACGTTACACATATTTTATTGTACCCACTGTATATTTTATTTTGTTTATTTCACTTTATATAATAATATTAATATGAATATCAGTTATGGGGTTTTCCCTTTAATCTTCCTCCCTGCTTCTTTATTTATTCATTGCATCGGATTGGTCAAAATAAATATTATTCGTGTTAATCAACAACATGCATTCGTGTGTATTGAGAAATTTTGAATTGCATTTTATATATTATTTATTATATTATTCAAGATGCAAACAATTAATATAAGATAATAAAATTATTATTAATATGGATGATTTCATTTTTTTTTAAAAACAAAAAATAAAATTTATTTATTTTTTGATTTTTATTTTTTTCTTGGAAAGATTCTTTTCTTCTTGATTTTCTTGATTCGATTCAAATATTTTGTAGTTTATTTTACATTCTTTAATAATTGGTTGATAGATTTCAATTCGTTCCTTACATTTCACAAATTATAATTTCTATCTTAAGACAACACGGAATTTACGAATTATCTTGAAAATATGTATGAAGAAGAATCAAGCTTCGGAATAGTCCCAATAACAGTCGAACAATCGCTGACAATTACTAGAATAGCGTTACCTCTAAATGTGTTATCAATATTAGCATCTTCAATCGGATGTTTGGTATTTATATTTATAAGAATCTCTTATCCTCGATTGGCTGACCGAGTGATATTTCGATTAGCTTTTGCTGCAATGTTGTCAGATATTTCTTATTCGTCATTTCAAGTATTGAACTTGGTTGTGACAACCCCTGGTACATTATGTATTTTATCAACCTGGGGATGGGTATTTACTACTCTCATTTCGGTTTTCTTTATTGATTGTATTGCTATAGTAAGTATATAAAAGTTTTTTTGGAAGGGAAAATGATCAAAAAAAAAAGATCGCGCGCTTGTTTATGTGTCAACGTTAACATTATTGTATATGATAATGTTTAGAACTTACAAGTTATTTTTCTACACGAATATGAAGGTCGACGTGATTTAGAAAAATACTATTTTATACTTCCAAGTGTGTTTGCTTTGACTTTATCCTTACTTCCATTGACACGAGATATGTACGGTTTTGATATACCTGAACAGTAAGTTTAAACTTCTTTTCACTAATTATTTGTTTCGCCATCAATCACTAATAAACATAAATATAATATGTAGGATTTGCTGGTATCGTTATTCCGGAACAACATTAAGTATTGTATGGCAATGGTCAACTTTGTTTATTTGGCAACAAATTTCTGTGTTATATTGTATCATAATACTGTTCGCCGTCACTTTAAAATTACGTTATGCGTCTTCGCAATTTAATGAAGCGCTTAAAGAGAATGACAAAAGGATAAACGACGCTCAAGATAACAATAACGCTAAATCAGCAACATTAGCAAAAACTAGCACTAATGTTTTATTAAAAAGAGGTACACTTATAACATCGGTGATTAGAAAGGTGTTGTGGTTTCCAGTCGTTCCTCTGATCAGTCAAACTCCAACTTTCTTGGCTGAAACCGATATGTATTTTAGTAAGAGCATTAAATATGAACTATTACTGTTTGGTTTTGTTGCTGCTTCGATTCAAGGTAAACATTATTTTTTTTACACGAGATAGATAACTAAATATAATTTATACATTAATTAATCAATATGCGTGCTTACAATTTTATATATTCGAAGGACTATTGAATACTTTTGCATTTTCGCAAGATCTTGCGGTTCAGAGAGCATATAATCTAACAAAATTGAATTGGTGGTATCATTATGTTAATAAATATGAACGATCTTATCCACATCTATCACATAATAAATCCATCTCAGCGGCAACCAATGGTAATATTAACAATGATGGTAATAGTAATAATAATTATGATAATAACAATGATGGTAATAATAACAATGATGGTAATAATAACAATGATGGTAATAATAATAATGATGATAATAATAATAGTAATAATAATTCGTTAATAAAATCTCAATCAAGTATTAGAAGATCAAATAAATTGTCAACTAATACAAATAATAATAATAATAGTAATAATGATAATAATAATAATGATAAAGATTCAATTGAACTTGATATGATGGTATTAAACATTAATGACGAGAATGACGATGACAATAACGAAATAATCACCAATAAAAAGCCAACAACAACAAATAATATTAGTAATGAGATAGATCAACAAGATCAAGAGCGATTTTCATCATCCAATTTATCTAATCCACTTTTAATTCCAAAGCCATCCTTAGTTGAAACATTAAAATACCATTTGTTAATTCGTCTATTTGATCAACCAAAAAATCTTGACGAATTTGTTATTAGCTTCGTGCAAACATCAACAACATCAACCGTCAATAACAATTTAAAAAACACTTATTCAGAAAGAGGCAATGTCGAAATAATAAATTTAAAAAAAACAAGAAAATCATTAAGCATAGAAATTCCATCTTCTTCAGACTCGATAAATAACAATCATGATGGTTCTAGATCAGAGAATTTTAATAACAACACTTTCCGATTAACGCCAAATTCATCTCCAAAAACATTATTAAATTTCCCAACATCACCATCACCACCACCACCACCACCACCATCATCATCACCACCATCATCACCATTTCATTACACGCCACCTTCGCCATCACCATCATTAAAAAATCATCAATCATCTTTATCAAAATCATCAAATTTAATACAGAGTTCATTTTCTAATAATGATAATAATAGTAATAGTAATAGAGTTGCAGTCACTGGACAACCACAAGAAGAAGAACAAAACAAAAAGAACGAAGAAAAAGAAAACGCCAATCCTACCAAGATAATAAATTCTAATAATAACAATGATAATGGTGATGATGATGGTGATGATGATATAATAACAAATAAATCTTTCTCGCACTTAAATCATAATAAAAATACATCAAATTCAATAAGCTCAATCAATTCGTCTATTTATAGTAGTTGTTATAGTGGTAATAGTATAAGAGGTTCAAATAAACCCGTCAACGAAACCAATAATGATAATGATAATATTCATATTCAATTTACGGCAGTAAATGAAAATACTAATTATGATGGAGTAACTATTATTAATATTGATAAAGTTGAAGATATTGTTGAAAATAATAATAATAAAGAAAAAGAAGATAACGATGATGATGGTGATGATAGTAAAATTAATGAAATTATAGAAACTATAAGTAATTCTCGTAATGAGGATAATATTAATAAGGTTAATCTAAATAACAATACCCATGACAGCAATAATATCGATATATGACATTTTCAAAAAGTTAATAAATAAATAATTATATAAAATATTTAATCCTTCAATATTAGTTGTGTAGTGAGTGAGTTCATTTGTATTTGTCAAGTACCGCATAAGGAAGGAGAAATCCTAATTTATTCAACAAACTCTCTTTAACACGCAATTTGAATCCATAGGTTTATCACCATATAACACAAAATAGCGTTGTCACGAAACATTGCTTTTGCTGAAGCAACAACAACAATAATAAAAGCAACATTTATTTAATGTTGTGATCGAAACCAGTTTAAGGAAATTTCAATCCTAAACTTTCCAGAAACCTAAACCGTTACCGAAGCCCAGAATCATCAGTTGATATTAATATTAAATCCTTATTATATTAATTTTGCAATCAGTGTTGGAATCTAGTGATTTGCATAAAATTTGTGCGCTAATTTGAATTTCACGCGTGAATTGCAAATTCACATAGATTTCATTTTCACGCACGACAGTTCTATGAATTAATCCTCCTATTTTTTTATCTTCTCAATATTTATATGCTTTCTCAAAATTAATGTCTTCAATTTCAGGTCCATTTAATAAAATCATTAAATGATTATTTAATGTATCAAGATTCATTTTGTTCCTTAATTTAATCAACTTTGTTTGGGAAAATATTCTTTCTACATTAGCATTTGAAAGAGGTATAATAAGAGATATTTTAACTAGAGGGGATATATTTGGGTAATTAAAAAAAGTCTTCATCTGTGTCAAAACCAATTTACAAAATATTATAAAATGATCCCACGTTTTGGTATAACATGCTTGCGTCCGCACCCTGAATTTCCAAAGTTAGATTCGAGAAGTTTAGGGTTTCGGGCCTCGGATATCTTCTCTCAAAAGTATTCCGGACAGCATTACGCTTATTACAAGTTAATAATTCTGTGCTATATTTTATTTATCTTTAATTGATCATCTTTTTCATTTGAACCTTTTTCATCCTTATTTGGAGGGAAAACAATAAAAAAATAAGCTACAATATACGTGACATTATTGGCAAATGCACGGATAATTCACGTTATTTTTTATCGTTTTCCCGACAATGTCTAAAATTAGTGAAGTCTATGGATCAGCTTTACATGAAACTGGAAACAGTGTTTCATATCATTTTTTTTATTGTTATTTAATAAGTGTTCGATAAGCATTGATTCAGATATTAATATTAATATGCAATTTTTCGTCACCTCGCTCCCAAAATCGAATAGCAAATTTCGATGATACTAACACCAATATTATTTAAAAAATACCTTCTGATATTTTTATAATAATAGGATTTTACATAATGATTTAATATTTAGCTAAACTATATAAAGGTAAATATTATACGTTAACTTTTAAAATATCATCTAATTAAGTAATTTATCTTTTATTTCTTTATAATAACCTGTTTTGTTATATGGAGCATACTGCAACAAAACCAGATAAAGTGAACATTTGTACTAAAAAGGATTTCAGCGAGTCATCACAATTTTACTATCAATGCAATGCAATTAATCCAAAAACATGAAATCGTATTTGGCTTACTTTTCTTTCACCTTTACTTTCACTTGGTTGTTCAGGTTTTATCTGACTTAATTTGATTTGTTGAATTTTGCTTTCTAATTTTTGAGTTTGAACTACCATTTTGTTTCTTTGCTCGGTTTATAGAGACTATTGGATTTAAATGGTGATTTATCAGAAAATACTTTGACAAATTCTACGAACAAAGACAGTCGTTTGATTTTATAAAAAGCCAAGATCAGCTAATATTTTTGTAATACAATCAAAACCTGTATATAAATAAATTTATTATAAATTTTTAAATTTATTTAAAATTATAATTATGCGACCATTATCAATTTTTTTTATAATAGTCATAGTTATAATCTCACCTACATTTATTTATTTAAACTCAAGCATTCAAACTCGAGAAAATGAGTCTTATTTAACAGATTTAGAATCCTCTTCAATATCTAACAACAACAACGACAACAACAACAGCAACAATGATATTCCCGACATTTCTTCTAAGGTTATTCATGGCTCTGTTGTAATGCCATTGTTGGGAAACGCGACCATAAAGTATGTTTTATTAATTTTATTGATTTAACAAAAAACAAAATTTTTTAATTGTGAATAAATAAATTTATAAATAAATATTTATTGTAGAGCTGAGCTTGGACGTAGTAGTTGGAAGGTAAAGGTTAAATCAATTTAATTTAATTGATTATGAAATAAATAAATAATTAATTAATTTAGATCTCTTTTTTTAAAAAAAAAGTTATTACATACAATGATGGCAAGATTTCCTGAACATCCTACAGAAGATCACAAGCAAGCATTAAGAAGTTTTATTTATTTATTTGGTAGATTATATCCTTGTGGTGAATGGTAAGAAATTTTTTGTGTAAGCTTGAAATAAAAATATAGATATTTAACTATTCTCATTAAATTGATGAAATAATTAGTGCCACAGAGTTTCAAGAAATTCTTAGTAAATATCCTCCCCAAGTATCATCAAGGGAAGCTGCATCTCAATGGGCATGTGCTGTTCATAATATTGTTAACAAAAGGTTATATAAAAAAATATTTGATTGTGGATTAATTGCTGAAAAATATAAATGTGGTTGCGATGATGATGGTGGTGATGGTGGTAATGGTGGTGATGGTGAAATAATGAAATAAATTTTTTAATGATTTAATAATATAATTTTAATATAGTATTGTAATTTTAGTTTAATAAAATTATTTGTTCATGATTGAATAATATCAGATGGATATCTATACATCTGATGAAAATCATGCATCAATGTTAATAATATATTAAATTTAAATGTGCAAACCTCCCTCCGTTTTCTAACAATTTCTCATCTCGGGCTCTAACCAAGGAATACCCACTAATTCAAATATTTCTTTTTCACTTGAAGCATCGATACGTTTACGTGGCCAAGTATTAGTGAAAAGTCCGTGTGACGCAAAAATAATTCCCTTTTCCTATTAAAAAATTGTTTTTTATTAATAATTTTATATTCCCGTAATAAATACGAATACAAATACAAATATATTTATATTACCTTTCTTGCATAATCTTTAAAAGTTCTTTCAAAATGTCGAGATCCTAAATGTTTTCATATTATTATTTTTTTCAAAAAAATAAAAAAATATAATGATGCCTACCTGTCCATCCCAATACAGCCGTAGCATACTGACTTTTGGGTGCAATAATTATATCAACTTGACGATGTAGATTTGTACTCTGTTGCCAAAATGCAATAAAACACTAATAATAGATTCTTTGTTTTTAATTAAAAATATCAAAGGTAAAAACTAATTAACAATTAAACTCTTTATATATGTAACAAAAACCTTATCAAGCCTATCCATTATATTTTTACGTCGTTTTAACAATCCACATTTTATATATTTTGAATTACGTGCATTTGATGATTCACTATACCAAAGTTTATGTTTTAAAAGACCTTGAAGGGAAGGGAAAAGATATTTTTAGTTGCAATCTATTTTTTTTTAAAAAAGAAAAAAAAATATTATATTTATTTATTTATTAATCAAAACCTTTATCAGCAAGTCTGTTCACTATTTTCTTTAATATAAATGGTTCTAATTCTTCTTCAGGATGCGATAATATCACATCCAAATCCCCATTAAATTCTTTACCTCTAAAATTAAAAATTTGGAAAGTTTATTTATATATTTAAATTATTATATATATAATTGATTTATTAGTTACCTACGATAACCGCCAACAATTGTTAAGAAATATTGTGAATCAATGCTTTTGACTTCTTTATTCAAAATTTCGAAAATTTCTTCAACATCTTCACGTGTCATTCTAAAATAAAGGTAGTGAACGATTAGATAATAATATAGGTGTAATATTATTTCAAATAATAATGATAATTTGTGGATTGTACTTTTTCTGAAAATCATCAAACATTTCCAATCCTATTTTTTGTACATTTGTTAAATTTGGATCTTTCTTACAATCATCTATTGTCTCGTATCCTTTATTATACCATTCGTTTGCTTTCTTAGTTCCAACGCCTTACAGCATATAATAAATATATACTATTATTATTATTATTATTATTATTATTCAAAAAATCAAAAAACCCCCTTGTAAAATATATTACCAAAAACACGTGTAAATAAATCCAATGTTAGGAATTTAGGATCATCCAGTATTTTTTCTGCTTCAGGGATTGTATCCAATTCAAAATATTTTTTAATAAGATTTCCAATCCTATCACCAATACCTTTTCAGAATTAAAATTTAAAATAATTCATTATTATCATTATCGTTTATAATAACGGCCTTTCAACTATATAAGAAAAAAAAAACGGTTTTTAACCTTTAATCTTCATGGCCTCTTTATAACTTTTTACATCGCGTGGGTAAGCCTAAAGCATTATAAATAATAATAATAATAATAATAATTAATAAAAGTAATTATCCTCATTATCCAAAAATGAATTATTAATATGTTTATACTTTTAAAGCCGCTATTGCTCTATGATAACCTAATGCGCTAGCATGTTCACCATCAAGTTCTTTTGATCGTTCTAAAACTGAAAGGAATTCTATAATGGATTGATTATATTGAGATGCAAGTGGTGTGGGACGAAGGCAAGCATATTTTGTATTTAAAAATCTAGAATCTAATTCTTCTTCACCGTCTGACAACACTAAAAATTTGATTATCAAATGGGATCATACAAGTAAGTGTAAATGCGGAAAATGTAAAGGTGAAAATAAAAACCTTCTGCGTCTGATTTATTGTCACCATCCTCTGAATTGCTTGTGATGCTACTACGAGAATCCGGATCACTTTGTGTATCTTTTCTTTCATTTTTTTGTAATGAAATCAAAAAATTATCATAGGGAGCTCTCTCGCCAATTCTATTGCTATTAAATTAGTTAATTTATTATTATCATTGCTGTTATTATTATTACTTTTAATAAATTTACCAACCATTCCTCAATCCAATCAATCGATAAGATTAATTTGCTTAATTCAGGTGAAATATATCTTATTATTCTTGCAGGAGATTTTAAGATCGTCAATATTACATCTGCATCGTTGACACTATTAACAATTTCACCACCAACATTTTCAATTAAATTTTGTAAAAATTCGATTTTTTCTTTTTTTAATTTTGCATCTATTAAATAAAATTTCCAATTTTTAAAGTATTCCTTCATTATTCTTTCCTTTGTCTTTAAAATTAATAAAATAAATTACCACAAACCTCTATCCTTTTTTTATATTAAAATTTGTGCAAACAAACAATAAATAAATAGCTAATGATGATATCAATTATAAATGCTGTAATCCGTAGTAGGTGACTTGTGATTGGATGGTGATATCAAATATAAAATTGTAGAGATTCATAAAAAAAAATTTTCTTTATAAAAAAGATGATTTTAATTCGTAAACCTATAATAATAATAAATCCTTTCAAAGCTTTAAACAGATCTTTTTTTCAGAATCAATCCATCACAATACATAATAAAAATATCAATTTAAAATCTTTTATTAGTAACAATAATAACAATAGTAAAATTTGCTATTTTTCAACAGTTTCAACAATCAAAAATTCCATTAATAATAATGGCACTATCACCACTACCACCACTACTATTAAGGGCTTTACTACTAGAAAACCGAAACCTTTACCACAATTAGAAAAAGAAAAGGCTAAACGTGTTTTCTATGGGGTGGTTGGTGTTTCAATGTGGATAGTGGCGACTGTTTGTTTTTTTAATTATGAACGTGTCAACAACAATATAATTCAAACAAGTCTACTTCATATTAAAAAGAATCCATTAGCCATAGAAACTTTAGGGAATAGTATTGGTTTTTCTTCAAGTTGGCCTTGGGTTATTGGAAAAGTTAATATTTTGAAAGGAAAGGTGGATGTGAAATATTCTGTGAAAGGAAGTAAAGGTAGGTTGATTTTATTATAATATTAATTAATAAATTTTATGCATAATTTAATGGTATTTGCATATGATATGATTATGAATTTAACAGCTAAAGGTAAAATTCATTTTCGTGCAATCCGTATTCCATTGGAAAGAAATTGGAAAGTCTTGGAATTTTCATTGACAAAAGACAATGGAGAAGTTATCTTGCTTAAGTTACCAAACGAACAATTTTTTCATACTTAAAAATTGAAAGAGATGTTAAATATTTATTATTATTAATCATTTTTTTGTGTACATGAAAATTTTCTATTTTGTATAAATATACATGTGAATATATATATAAGTGTGTTGATTATTATAATTATTATAATTAACAGTTCTACTATTTAATTATTAATTATTTTGTTTCTCTTGAAATCCAATTGAACCATTTTCAATCTTTGAAGTTTTGTTTTTTGTTTTTGAAATCAAATATTGTTCTAATATTATTACATTCCTTGAATTTGCTTTATATAAAAAATCTATAAAATCTCCCAAAAATGGTGTTAAGCTCAACTAAAAAAAAAGAAAAATTTTTAAGTCAGAAAAAATTTTTTTTAATAGAATGTAAAGAAATCTTATTTTAAACAATATATGTAAATTTACCATAAAGTCAACAAATATATTCAACAACATTAGAAATATGAGAAATTGTGGTAAATTAATCTCTCTTGATTTCATCACCAACATTAGTGATAACCAAACCCCCGCAAAATCACCAATAACTGGTAAACATCCTAGATAAAATAAAGATAAATTCAATAAAAATATACATCAAGTCAATTTAACAAGTAGAATTTGATTATTTACCAATAATTGGTTCTAGTCCAATTCTAATTCCACAAATCGAACAAAATCCATTATCCAAATAATGTGCTCTTTTTTTAACAATTTTTAATGTTTTTGCCTCTTTTTCTGTTAATCCAGCTGGAATGTTCCATTTATTTTTTTTACTTTTACCATTACTTTTATTATTATTATTATTATTATTATTATTATTGTTAAAACTATTATTATTATTATTAAAATTATTATTATTATTATTATTATTATTGTTAATGTAATTGTTGAAATTCTTGTTAATATTATTAATGCTATTAATGTTATCACTATTAATGTAATTGTTGAAATTATTGGCTATTTTTGCATTGGGTGGTGCATTGGGTATGTTTGATGTTTTCTCTAAAACATGATCTACAACTTTATTTGTAACGTAAGTTTTCAAACTCATTTTTTTTAAATTTATTAATTAAAAAATAATTATTCAATAATTATTAATTAATTGTATATTTATTAAAGAAGGTAAAATATAAAAAAAATGAGTTTGAAAAAATTAGGATTTCTTTTTTTCTTTTTTTTTTTTTTTTTTTTTAAAGACGAAATAGTTCGCTTATTTATAATAAATAAAACAATCGATCCTAAATTTAATTATTGATTTCATAATGTTGTTTATGTATTTATCTAATCAATTTGAATTTGAATTGTCTTGTATTATAAAAGAAGAAACAACGTTTCAAAGATCTTCAATCCTATATTTAGAAAATTTGAATGCAGTCAGGGAAATTTCCAAACACGGGAATTTCCAAATACCGCCTGATTTGGCAAAAAAAGGCCGTTATAGAGAGAGACCGTCATAGATAATTTGCAGATCATAGTCATGTGGTAAATTATAATGCGATACAATATATTTTTTATATGATAAAATATTTAAAAATAAATGAAATAAATGAAAATAAACTATTTAGAATTTGCATATTTATTCAATATTAAAAAAGTTATCTAGTGTGGATTGTTGTTGTGAGTTAAAATCAATTTTTTTAATTTT